AACACAAGCGCGCGCAGCGCGACGCACGCCCGCCGACGACTGTTGTTTCATGTTTGAAGGCGTTTGCGAGTTGCGACGGTCATTTGCTGTTTAGTGATCATTCGCCCGTTCGTCTGGTGCGATTGTCTCGTTTCGATCGTATATCGCTTTGCTGTGTATATTCCGATTGCGTTAACCTACACGTCGCCGTAGCCCACATTATCTTATTTATTACCGTCAATTCCGCGTGTGGTGTGCTCGCGAGCATTTCGTACGGTTTGCAATATTATATTATTGTTATTATCGACATCTGTGGCCTGACGAAATTAAATCGTATTACATTTAATACGCTTTGAYACACGTCTCCGGTATTTTTCGTATAATCCTAATATCATACATTTAACCGTCATGGGTCTGGCGTCGTATTTAACGGTGGCTAACATCGCCGTGCACGTGCTCGGTGCTATCACGTTCGTCTTTTCCGTCTACTATAACTATGTTCACGTCAACATACCGACGCACGTCAATCCCATCGACGACGCGTTCGGCGGCAAATTCAAATACCTCACGTTTTTAGACGGGGTGAGTAAATCGAATTCAAAAGTATTAAATATGCCTGTAAATTATAAATTATATATAATATCCCTCTTTCTGGTGCTTATAATATTATCTTTTCCATTGCTCGTGTATACATAATATTCTGCACACATGTTGCACGTAAATTAAGTCGTAAACGGTAACTAAAAAATGTTTCTTTTACCCAGTCCTAAACTAAAATTTATTGTACAACATTAGGGGTAGGCCCGTCATTTTAGTTTTTGATGGTCGGTGCCAACATTTTTGTAGATCATTTTCAAATCATATATTAAATGGCATATATTTACTTACCTACTTTATATTAATCCTTTTTTCCATTTGCTATTTTACAAAATAGTACTAGTACAGAACATAAGTATGAATGAACACACTACACGTCTGCTCCCCAAATGATGCGCCTCGTCCCAGCTACTTAGAATCGAAAATCTGATATATTTACTAATATTGAAATTGAGATATAGGAATTGCAGGAGAAAACAATTACAAATATTTCAAAATGTCTAAGTTTTTTTTGCCAAAACCTAAGACTATATACCWGATCATCCCCACTGTACCCTAAACATAAACCCCTTTGTTGTTAGCTTTTTATAACTTTATATCTTAGTGTCATATTTATGATCATTTTAAAAAATGAGCGATAAATAAAAAATTAAATTTTAGTTATGAAAAGTTTCAAAATATTAATAATTTTTGTTTATAGAGTAGGTGATCCTTTTTGTATTTAATGGTTTTATTTTATACTCTCAATCACGAACTGCAGAAAAGTTTTTATTTAACCGTGATGAATGAAAGTATATATTAAAACAATTTAGAGTGTCATAATTTTAAAATTATGTCCAACCGGAAATCTATACAATATGATTGTATCTTAATAATTTTCATTAAAAATTAGCTAAATAAAAATATATCACTTGGGATCTTATACTTTAGTCTTAAATTTCATATTAAACAATCACTTAAAATTTAAAGAATCAACAGTAAGCTTGTGGACCCTTATTTAAAATAACTTGCCATTTGGTGAACTATGATTGGTTAATTTAATATTAGTAAATCTAAACTAATTTTTTCAAAAATGTTTTTAGGTAGTTACTTTTTGCGTTATTGAAAATTTTCTGTTAAAATAATCACTCTGTATATTATATCATATAAGTATATATTATATGTATGTTACATATTAAATGGTATTCACACATTTATAATCAATGAATTTATACTATTAACTAATGAGTAATGACTAAGTGCATAAAAAATAAGTTTTAATTTGAGATTGTGTCATATAGATATTTTAATTGTTGTGACGATAATTTATCGTAATTCTGATTTAAATTAGCATTTTGTATAAAATATACTGTAGTTTATATTAAGGAATTAGTTAAGCAGTTAAKATACTATAATAGATAGAAAATAATAGTAATAGTACGATAATTTTCCTAATTGTTGGTTGTCGGAGTGCTATGTATTTTATTTCTGAAATATCCAATTAAATATTTTTATTGACTTCCAGGTAGGGGAGGGGGCTGAGCTCAGGTTTATATGGGACACTTTATTGACATTTATAATGTGGTGTATGTATCATATTAACTTTTGGGGACTTAGCCCCCCAGTCCCCCTTATTTACACTTATACTTACTAGTTATAGGAAAATTGTTGATAAAACAAGTTATTATATTTTGCGTACTAATAATAATATAGTCCACGATGTTAGGTTAAAAATGGGCTAAAATAATTTATAAATTATAATAATGAATATTAGGTAATCTATTAAAATTTTAAAATTTGTAAACGATGTTATGAGTATAAAATTAATAAAGCATTTTAATATATTATGTATAAATGTAATTGCGTAAAATGTGGGCAATAGAGTAAGGAAATCCGTCTAATTTTTCCTAAGTAGGTAAGGTRGTATTGGTGGTTGAATAGTTAAAAAAAAATTGAAAAATAATAGAACATGTACAAAAATTCCTTTAATGTATAATTATTTATATATATAAATTATAGACATTAATTATAGA